TTCTACAACAAAGAACTTTTGTGAATGAAAGAGTGTATTTTAGTCAGTATGCTGTCAAGATATTTTTAGAACTGTGTGCCTGAACCATGGGCATTTATAAAATTCCTGTAATTATATGTCTTAAAAGCAAGTAGGGCATACATTTAGGTAATTGTAAGAACAACAAAGGAAACAGAGACAATGGGCGCCATTAACAGACCAGACATTTATGGGATGGGAGTAGCTGGGGAGAAGAAGAATGGGGACAAAGTACATTTCAAAAAGTTCTGGCCAACAAGCTCCTTCCTTGGGGAAGATGTTCAGGGGCTGCGGAGGTCTCCAGTCAATTTCAACCAGATGAAAACAAACCATCCAAAGTCAACGACAAAGGAAATACCCAGGGGCATCAAGAGATAACTCATATAAAGATGTGTGATGCCATTGAAGAAATTCTGCAGACCAGGGGAGGGCAGATGGATTCATTCAACAGTCAGCAGCGCAGAGCAGTGTACTAGGATATCTTTCAGAAGAGGGAGAAATAGCAAGTCCCCCAAAGATGCTCATGGAACTCATTGTCTCTTCGGCTGCCTTGTGAGAATTTGCTAGAGTCCTTTAAACTGAAAGCTAAACATACTAATTAATAACATGGAAGTCAGTGATGTAAACTTGTGAAGTCATATTCAGGATATTGTTGAACTGTAATCATAATAGGGGATTTTATCCTTCATAGTACAAGGGTTCTGTATAAAAACACTGCTAACAACTAACGGTAAAATAGTCATTCAAAATGATATAAATTCTGGCACAAAAAATGTAAAAAGTAGGGCTGGATAGATGGCTTAGTGGTTAAGAGAACTGAATGCTTTTACGGAGGACCTGGGTTCAATTCCCAGCATCCACATAGCAACTCTTAACTTAAGGTCAAGGAACCGATGCCCTCTTCTGGCCATTGTGGGCACTAGGTGCACATAAGGTGCACAGACATACACGGGCAAATATATCCATACACATAAAATAAAAATGGCAAATTTTTATAACAATGTGAAATGTAGATAAAATTGTACAGTTATATGAAATCAAAGTTATATTGTTATCAGCTTAAAGTAGGCATCACTATAAGTGATTCTCCTGGTAGCCACAATGTGAATTTTTTTAGCAAAGCACACAATAAAAAATAAAGGATTCAAAGCATGTAAGTACAGAAAACCACCCAATCATCTGGAAGGGGCCAAGAGAGTGAGGCAGAAAGGGAGTATTTACAAAACCATCAGAAAATAACTAAAGTGATTGGCATTAGTAAGTCCTTGTCTGTTAGTAATTCCCTTCAATATAAATTCTCCAATAAAGGGTATGGAGTGACTGAATGGGTTTTTAAAGGATCTGAATTTACGCAGACTTAAAACAAACTCTCCAACTTTTTAAGACCTTCACAGACTGCACATGAAGCGAAATTAGATATTATGCACAAAGAAGAACCAAAGGAGAAAAGAAAGAATAATAGTTACCTCACAAATAGAGTTTAGGTAATATATATATTATATATTATAATATAATATTACATATATTATATTATATTATATATATAATATAATATATATATAAAGGAAAAAAATAAAGACATAATATATTGACAAAAAATTAATTCACCAATGGAATATAAACACAGCTCTAATGCACAGTACATAAACATAAAAAAAAATCGAAGTATCTGGATGGAGAGGAA